TTTAGTTTACTTGTCTGAAGTCTCTTACACTTCTGGCATTTATAATAAATTTGGATCAAGTTTTTTTTAGTATGAATTCATTAAAGGATTTGGATTTACAAACTCAGGAGTTTTCAATTCTGCATGTAGTGTTAATTCCATAATTTATTATGTCTATTTTCCAAAACACAAAAAACATCAATAAAAATAAGCAGTTAATTAACAATAATGATTTTAGAAATGTCCTTTAATTAGTATTTCATATATAGATGCTGGTTACAATTCTTGATGATGGTTGCAACCACTTTGGTTTCCTTTTTTGGATTACGACATGGAACACTAAAATTTCATAGGATTTCAAATTCCATCAGAATTTTGTTTTATAATAAAATGATCAGCAAAGAAAATTTCAAAGGAACTTTTATGTTTTACACATATTATTTCTTTATTTGTAATATGTAACAATATGTTACAAAAAAATAAAAAAATAAAAATAAACATAAAGTATAAAGAAAAAAATATATAAGTAATTTCAAGAATATTATTCTAACACTCTAAACCCCTACTTTATTGATTATCCAACTCTTCATACACAAACATGCTCTTGCAATTTCTGGCAATAAGTGATTTCGCACCTTACTGATTGTATTTCCAGCAACTGAGAAAGCACGTTCTGATGGAACACTGGTTGCCTGTATTGTAAGATAATCCCATGCCATTTTACTTACAATTGGGTACTCTTTTTCATGTCCTTGCCACCACAAGAGAGGGTCTGCATCTTCATCTTTTTGCAATGAAAGATAATGATCCAGTTCCGATGTAGTAGATGCTGAAGATGTTTGTGGAATTGTTGTACCTTGTTGAAGTTGTATGAAATATTGACAAGCAGCACTTGTAGTGGATGATGCTCTTGATATTGATGTTCTTCTTGTTGATGTTTCATTGGAAGAGTTTTGGTATTTATTAAAAATTGTTTGAATATACTCATGAGCACTTTGCTTTATGTTATTTGAAAAAACAGAAAGCTTGGCTCAAGGATCTAAAATTGTTGAAGTGATTGAAGAATGATCCATAATATTCCAATACACTCCAAGTTTTTGGGATATTGAGGCTGCTACCTCACATTGTTTAAAGTCTTCTTCTCCTAGACATTTTTCTAAATGGGCCCGGACACTACAAAAAATAAAACAAACATCACCCAAAGTTGGATAGGATGATGATGAAAGATATTTTATGGCTTGTTCTAAAGGCTCAAGAAGTAAGAGAACATCCTATAAGTATGATAAGAATATCAGAAATTAATTATTAATATTTTGCCTTTGTGATCAGGTTGAATCATTTACCAATATTTAATATTCAATTTTACCTTAATCACTCCCAATTCATTTTCATTTGGGCGAATATTATTGATAGTGTTATTAGTGGCAGCAAGCAAAATTAGTGCTGGCTGAAGTTGTTCAAAATGTTTCAACATATAATATGTTGAATTCCAGCAGATATCTACATCTAGAATTGGTTTCAGATATTTTATTTTTTTTGCATCACACATGATATGAAGTTCATCACAAAGTAAAGTCGAGTTTTTAATTTTGGTCATTAATTGATGTACTTTGTTAACTGGATCACTAACTATTTCTAATCCTTGCTTCACACCCAAGTTCAAAACATGTGCTACACAATAATAATGTGCAAAATTCATTGAAGAAAATTGATCATCAAAGGATTCAGCAAGCTCTCTTCCACACACCAACATTGCAGACTCATTGTCTGTGGTTAATGCAATAATTTTGTTAGAAATATTGAATTCACCCAAGACATCAAGAAATTTTCCCACTGCAATATTACATCTGTAAATTTTAATATGTAAAGTTGTAATATTTGCATAAAAATTATGTAATATTTACACTTGATGTAATAATTGCATAATTTTTGTATGCTTATTTGCATAATATTATGGGCCTGCCATAAACTTACATAAATAGTGTAATAATTACGTAAATCCACATCAGAAAAATTTCCTGATGGACATGCTTAATCTCTTGTGCAATATTTACTCTGTATGTCTAATGCTAAAAGGAATATAATGTCAAGAAGGAAATTACAGAGATGCCAATTTGAATCTACATAATGTATAGTTATTCCTAAAAAGGCCTCCTGGTTTATAGAAGTCCACATGTCAGCTGTCAATGAACATCTTCCCTCAATTTGGCTAAGTTCATTAATAATTTTTGTTCTTTTAGAATTAAATGCATCAATTATAGATTCTTTTACTTGGTGCCTTTCAGGAACAGTATAACAAGGACAGAAATGATTGATAAATGTTCTGAAATAGGGGTTATCAACAACTGTAAAAGGTTGTAGATCACAAATTAACCATTGAAGAAGGTATTTGGTATGTTCTTTTTGTTCTTTTTCACCAAAAGGATCCATTCGAATCATGGTTCTATGATTTCTAGAAGGTAGTTGTAATTGGTGGCAATAACTGAGGTGTTTACAAAGAGAAGACACACCTGTTGTTAACATATACTTATGTGAGCACATCTTGCAAACATTATATCCTAGTGCATAAGATGGATTCCTATCAAAATACTCCCATACAGAACTTGTTCTTGATATAGATGATGAGGTAACATCTGTTTCTGATTGCTCATCACCAAATACTTGACTAATAGACTCATCAGGATTTATATTGTCAAAATCTTCATAATAGGAGTTATTCATATCTTGGTCCATAAAGATTTCTAATTGTTCATCCATTTTATAAAAGTATATATAATAAATTGAAGGTAATTAAAAATAAATGATTTTTAAAGAGAAAAACAATCATGTATATTGTATATGTAGGTAATTAAAAAAAATAAATGATTTTAAAGAGAAAAATTGGAAATAAGCAATCACATGTATATGTAGGTAATTAAAAAAAATAATTGATTTTTAAAGAGAAAAATTGCAAATAAGCAATCACGTGTATATGTAGATAACTAAAAAAAAGAATTGATTTTTAAAGAGAAAAATTGCAAATAAACAATCATGTGTATATGTAGGTAATTAAAAATAATTGATTTTTAAAGAGAAAAAAAAACACAGTGAGACTTGTTGTCAGTTTACTGATTATATTAAAGATTTACTAGTTTTGACAATAATATTTGTGTTACATCTATTTTGGAACCGGTTCTGTTCTATTGTAACCGGTTCCATGGAACCGAACCGAACCGAATTGACGCAAATTTGATTTTCACGCACAACACGCTTAAATATGTACAACAAAAAATTTAGTAACTGATTCTCAAATAATTAAGAATGTAATAAAGTTGAAGAGAGAAATTCCTTATAGAAGTACTCAAGAAACAAGACAATATCGAATTGATGAATTTATGAGTCAGATATTATTATCATCATTGTTTTTATTTAATTTTAATAAAATTTTTTAGCAATAACGATTTTCAATTAATCACGTGTGAATGTTATTGTTTATTTGACACGTCTTAAAAAATCTCGTTCAAAACAATTTCCTTTAGCTGTTAAAAAAATATGGCAAATGATCAAAATTTGGAAAAACTGGCTAAAGCATTGCTTTCAAAATCTGCAGAAAATCCTTGGTTGATTCCTTCGATAGTAAATCCTGCTCTTCAAAAAGAAGTTATACTTTACATGCTAAAAAACTGGAGTTTGCATAATTCTAAAGAAAAATTGGCAATATTCTTTCTAATTTTATGTGTAAAAAAAAGTACCGTGACAGCATTACAGGAATTGCTATCAGAAGTAAATCATTAAAGATATAAATATTTATAATTTTAAGTTATTTAGTAAAAAAAATTAATTTTCTATAAAGATACTTTTGGCAGGTGCTTCTGATTTGGACGATTGTTGGGTTTGTGTTTTCTCAAAGATGATGATTAATTATCCTAAAACTGGTGAACTTGATTTGACTGTTGAGAATTATCTTCCTAGAGAAATACAACAACAATTTAATGAATTGATTAATAAAAGTAGACATTGTTAACTCTTAAATATATTGATTAATTCGTCTACTTATTTATATTTATATAAATATATTTATACATACAGTAATGAAAAGTGAAATAAGGCTTCATCCTATGGAATTTGCGTTTATTGATAAAGATATTTGTAATTTGTTATCAAAAACATCAGAATCAGAAGCATCATTCAGCACATCATCATCACTATATTTTCAACTAAAGCCAAAATGCGAGATTTCAAGAGAACTGCGATTAAATACATTAAAAAATTTGGATGTTCCTAGATCGCAAAATATACTTCAAAATACAGGAACCAACCTAATAAATTCTTTCAGAGGTTATTAATATATTATATGCATACATTTACATACGTTCGTATATATTAATTCGCAATTTCTCTGATGTAAAATTAATCAGGTGCAGAGATCGAAATAATTCCAGGAAAGAGCTATATTAAAGATACGAAAATTCGAATGTTGGATCAAGATGTTGGAATTTCTATTATCAGAAATCAAAAAGAAAAAAAACTTTTTGTTAGTAAGGGTAAGAAAATATAGTCAGTCAGAAATCGACTGAATTTGGGGGTTTCTACATAATATAACATATTACGCAATTTCCATTATATCTGGTATTATTATTATTATTTCCAAAAAAGTTTGATTTCGTAATAAAAAAACAACATTTTTCCTTCAATCAATTTAAAAATCCTCCTCCCCAAAAACACTTATGGAGAAACTCGAATCAACTAGAATAGTAATAGTGAGATTATCTGCCAATTAACTGGTTAGCTATACAACCAATTATAGTTAACTTTCAATAAATGCACGAAGTCATATGATCATAATTTGGGCTATGTCAAGTATAAAAAATATAAAAAATATTTTTTTTATTATTATTATTATTTTCAAAAATGGAAATTCTTTTTTAAAATTTTGCTTATAGCCGCAGCACTTATGATAATCATTTTTTTGAGAGTATATAAATATCTTCCTTCTTCTCCAGAGAAATACAATCGACAAATTTTAGTTTTAACATTTCAAAATGGCTGAACTTGATTCTGATTGGTATTTTGGTTCGAGAATATCTAACGAATCTAAAAGTGAATTTTCTGAATCTCGTGATGACGACACTGGAAATAGTGTGGTTACTGACAATACAAATGATACATCCATCAAATATACAAATTTAAATTGCGAAAATTCCGTGCTTCAGTCACTTATTATTGATCTAGATTCAAGCTCTGACGAAGAAAGTGATTCCTCGTTTGAAGAAGTTATCAGTCTAAATCTAAATAAAATAAAACAAGAACAAGCAAGACTTGCCTTGTTGGAGAAGGAGTCACAAATGGACATGAATGAAGTAATAATGATAAACGACTCTTCAAATAATTCACAATCCTCAATATCATCATCATCATCACCTGACTCGGAATACCATGATAATAATAGTAATAATGCTGCATATCAAATCCCTGAATTTCCACCATGTCCACTTGGATCAAATAAAAAACCAGCTGTACATATATTGAAGGCTTCAAAGTTCAAACAATCAACAAAATCATTCGCACCACCTACATCAAATGTCGATGATGGATCTGCTTGGATACCTGAACCAAACCAATCACAACTTCCAATTGAATCTCGTAAAGAAGATATCATCAAAATTATTCGTGACAACAGAGTAATTGTTTTAAGTGGTAGTACTGGCTGTGGAAAGGTAATTCATCATTAAATATATATATATATATATATATATATATATATATGAAAACATCAATTTATGAAAACGAAATATTAATTATAATTTTTATAATTAGTCCACTCAAGTACCACAATATATATTAGACGACTGTTTACAAAGAGGTGTTCCTGTTAATATAATTTGTACACAACCGGTAACTTTACATACGAGTTGTCATTTTTTTTATTTTATTTTTCAAAATTTATTATTAATATAATTTTTTCTTCTTTGGACCTCATACAATTTAATGCTAGCGTCGTATTGCTGCAACTTCTTTAGCGCATCGTGTTGCATTGGAAAGAAATACTAAACTTCACGGCCAAGTAGGATATCATGTCAGTGGTAAATGTGGTCACTCAGCTATAACAAGGTTACGTTATGTTACTACAGGAATTTTATTGGAGATGTTGAAGGCAGACAGGCATTTAGCCTCATTTACTCATGTCATTATGGATGAAGTAAGTTTATAAGAATAAAATTATGTTTATTCAGCAAAATGCAAAATTAATGATTGACAAAAAAAAATTTTTCCTTGCCAGATTCATGAACGCAATGTAGATGATGATATGATGATGGCTCATCTTTGTGTTATATTAAGAGTGAATCCTAATTTGAAATTAATAATAATGTCGGTAAGTTACCTTCTCAACAATCAACAAAGTATACACGCAAAAACTTATTCCATTTATTTTCTCACAACTTATTTTGTTTTTGTTTACAGGCTACAATGAATGTTAAAAAATTTGCTAATTATTTTCATGAATTTGAAGCTGAAAAGGATGGTTTTTTCAATAAAATACCATGGATAGATATTCCTAAAAAAGCTTTTCCTGTTGATGTGTTTTATTTAGAGGATGTGTGTCAAGCATTAGATATTTCTTTTTCGAATAGAGATGTAATAATGAATAACCCAAAAAAACCTTCTATGATGCAAGAACGTCGTGATCTTTTTATCAATTGGATATTTCGATGTCATATACAAACTCCTTCTGATAAGGCCTTTTTGGTTTTTTTCCCTGGTATTGCTATAATTGCTGAAGTAGTAAGTTTTATTATTTGTTTATAATGTGTTTATAATAGTATAAATCAATTATATTCAAATAAATTTTTTTTTTTGGTAAAGGAAGATCAATTGACGTACCTTGATGAAAATTATAGGTAAAATAAAAATATATATATTAGCATACTTTTAGGTTTATCCACTTTTTACATTGTATAGACACATTTTATAAAATTTAGATCCGAGTTTCCTTATACTGATGGAAAGCCTACTCCTGCAATCTCATTGATTAAACTACACTCAACTGTTACTATTGATGAACAATGTTTAGTTATGCAGAGACCAAGACCATGTCATAGAAAAGTAATGTACTAAAATTTTTTTCAATGATTTTCTGGTCTCATTTTCTTATCCCATTTAATAAATTTTATTTCCTTACTATTTATTTATTTAACAATTTGATATTTAATGATTTAATAATTTAGATAATATTGGCAACAAATATTGCCGAGAGCTCTATTACTGTTCCCGATGTCTCCATAATATTTGATTCTTGTTTGCGTAAAGATTTACTTTATGATAAAGAAACTAGATGTTACAGTTTAAATGAACAATGGATAAGTAAAGATTGCGCCGAGCAAAGAAGAGGAAGAGCTGGAAGAGTTGGTCCTGGTGTGGTAATGTATATATAAAAAGAAAAAAATTATATTGAATTTCACTTCAGTATTTGTAATATTCTTTTTTTTTTGTATTTTACATTCAAATTAGATTTATCGATTTGTACCTAAAAATTTCTTTAAAAATCTTTCTGATGAAAGAACACCCGAGATTCATAGAACACCACTTAATTCTTTACTTTTACGGTGCATATATGGGAACCTCGGTGATCCTCGTGAATTATTATCTCATTGCATTGATCCTCCAGATGATACGGCTGTTGAATATGCATTAGAAGATTTGGAAACAACTGGTGCTGTTACCAAATCAAAAGAAAATATTAAGGAATCTGATGATTGGGTTCAAGGTAGTCTTGTTACATATGAATATGAGGTCACTCGTCTTGGTACAATTTTGGCACAAGTTCCTTTGGATATTCATTCTGGCCTATTAGTAGTTTATGGTGCAATTTTTGGTGCTTTATACGATTGTATGATTATTGCTGGTAAATTATCGATTCTCAGTTTATATTAATATATATGTGTGTATATATATATTTATTAAAATTATTATAATTATTATAGCAATATTGCAAAACAAAGGAGTCATTGTTCAACCTCCAAATCAAGAAATAGCTATCAGTGCAGCATTAAAAAGATTTCACTTGGATTTACCCGACTGTCAGCCATTACATGGTGGCTCTGATTTAATAGCACAATTACGTGGATATCTTTTATGGGAAGAAACTACACAAAACAATGATGATTTTGATCAGAGCAAGGAACCAACATGGTGTCAACAACAGTTTGTTAGCCTTTATTGGATAAGAGAAATACAAGATCTTGTCATCACTCTTCGAGAATCTTTATCTCATCAGGGTATATGTTCGGCTGCTACAAAAGAAGAAAGAGACAAAATACGTAGAAATCGTGTGTTTAATCCTAATTTAATTGAAAATATACATGAAAGTAAAGGTGACGAATTGGGAAATGATCTTAAAGATGAAGAGGAGAGATCAGAGGCAAGTCAAGGAACTGAATCATCAAATGACATCAAACAAGCAATTCTATTTCTTGATATGGCAGCAGCATCTGAAGAAACTTCAAGTCTAAAAAAAAAAGATCTAAGTTCAGAACTGCCAGAACTTAATTTACACAACAATCATTCAAATTCTTATAGAAAGGTTCATGAAGCACCTAGGATTATGCAAAAAAATACAAATCCTTGGATGAATACGTTTGATCGTGCATATGAAATAACATCAAATCAAGTCGAATTGAAAAGAGAACCTAACATTCTATTAATCAATCTTTTGCTAGTGGCAGCTTTTCACCATAATATGTTGCGAATTGTACCAAATATTGACAATCGTGTATTCAAAAATTGTCCGGAAATTTTCAATCAAGAACGTACAATTGAATTTTTGGCTACAATTCTTCCCCCAAAATCAATAATTATAGATGCACTTGAAAGAGATATTGGAATGGTGCAAAAAATCTTACATCCTGATAATGAACAGTTTTGCTCTGATGCAGAGTTTGAATCTTGTTATATCGAATTTGCAAAACCTTGTAAACCTTTATGGACACATTCAACCATCAGAAATGTCCCAGCACTACCAGATGCTGTTTTTTTGGCACATAAATTTAGAAACGTAAAAAATTGCATCTGGACTGCAGACAACTCTATGGTATATAATCCAACGCCCAATACAACATCATTTGACACAACATCATTAGATACAACATCACCTAATCCAACATCACATAATCTAATGTCATCTAATTTAACATCATCTAATTTAACATCATCTAATTCAACACCACCTAATCCAACTTCTAATTCAACATCACCCAATACTTCCATTAGTAATAATTTTGAGGATACAAAGAAGTTGAGATTTTATGCAGTTAATGGAAGCCCAGAAACTTCAGTAGCACTTTCACCAATATTTCATAAGCAAACATCCAGAGCATTTGCTTCAAAAACTTCATTATTTTTTCCATTAATAGTTGCACCTTCAGAATATAAATATTATACGGTTTGTGCAGGAAAATTACTCGCTGTAGATCATGGAAAATCACATGTTGGTGAGCATATTACATGTCTTATAGCACCATTAGATTCCGAAAAAAATGTAGGGGATATTATTCTTGCATTATTTGCTAACAAATTAATCAATGATGATATATTATGTGGGTGGCATGTAAATGTAAATTTGACACGATATCCCATATTTGATCAAAAACCATTGGATTTAGATTCAAAGTTAATTGATTCATTTAGATATTTTTTGAAACAAGCTTTGATCGAAGAAAAGCCAATTATAAATGAATCATTACTAAAAACTATTCCTGGTGATGGTTTTTCATCGTTATCATATCCAAATAATTGTAAGGACTTGACTAATACTTGGCGAGCGTGTGATATTACACCAGATCAGGCAGGAAAAGAGCTCATAAGAACAGTTTTATTACTTATGTAAAAATATATATATTTTTGGTATATTTTAGACATTTTATTAGATTTTCGTATATATATAGATTCATTTAATTATTATTATTTTTTTCAAACTTAATATTATTATTTAAAAATTTATTTATATAATTGGGAAATGTTTTAAAAAATATCCCAAGAAGCATGAATTATCATATTTATAAATAAAGTTGAAATTATTTTAAAATTTACATGTAAGCCAACCTAATTCAAAAACTATTATCCTTCTAATAACTCTTTTACAGGTTTTCATATAAATTATAAAACTTGAAATAATGATAATAACAATATAAATGTCATCATGATTCATAAAATATTATATGATTTATTTGATTACCATTAATTTTGAAATAATCCAATTTAATCATCTGGGGACCTTTTATTCAAATTCCAACATGCTGGATTATAAATACCGACCAACTCTTGCATGTTTCCTTAGATTTCATAATGATTACAGTTTATTATCACAACATTTATATTCGAAAATTGATCGTAAATGAATTATATGAATTATTTTTTGTGATCTACCCATTTTGAAATTAAAATATAATTCCTTTTTATTGTTCTTCAAGTTAGCAGTGATTTTAGTTGCCATTCGTCTAAAATTGTTCGAGGAAAATTTTGTTAAACCTTATTAGTGGATAATAAAGTTTCAATCATCTTTGTTCCACTTTGAAATTTTTCAAAGTTGTCCCGCCCGTTCATTCATTCCTCCATCCATTGGATAATAATTTAAAAACATCAATTATAGATATAAGCGTAGGTTTTTTTTTAAAAAAAAAAATATCTTGAATAAATGATTTTGTGATAATATTTTCGTTTTCTCAATTGATAATTTCGTTAGTGTAATTCATCATATTCTTCATGTAATTTATATTTTAAATAAATTTATAATGGAATTATTGATATTAAATGGTTTGAGTGAATCAAAAATTTAATGATATTATGTAGCATTAGATATAAATAATTTAAATATATATATATAAATATAAACTAATTAAAAAGACATACATTAAAAGAACTTCATCCCGGGTCTTTTTAATTTATTTGATAATGCTGCTTTGAAATTAAAATACAAAAAGTCCTGCTTTCAGAATAGCAGAATGAGCCTTAAAATTTATAATATTATCATCAGTATGTCTTGGTGGTAAAGCATCTTTGTTAGAATAAGGTTGTTAACGAAATTTTCAGATTTTTTTTTAAAAAAGAAATAATTTTTGATTGACATATCACAAAAATTTGCTTCAAAATGTCTAATAATCTTACATCTTTAGAAAACATCAAAATTTTATTCAAAAAACTTATTGATTCTAACAAAGATGCTCTACTATTAAAACATATGAATAGGCTTTTCAATGATTTAACTGACTTGTTAAATGAATCAGATTCTTATGATGTAGAAATTAAAGTTGGAGAAGGTGATGATGCCAAGACTTTTAAAGCTCATTCCAATATTTTAAAAGCAAGATCCACTTATTTCAAAGCAGCTTTATCAAATAATTGGGCAAAAAGATCTGATGACGGAACTATTTTATTTGAAAAAGATAATATTTCTCCAAAAATATTTGAAGTTCTTTTAACGTAAGTATTATCATTAATTAAATAATTAATTATAATGCGTTTTTTTATTTGATACAACATTAAACGTTGTATTTTTTTTTTTTCAAAGATATGTTTACAATGGGGTTATTGATATTGATAATCTGGATCCAGATGAAATTCTTGAACTTCTTGAAGCATGTGATGAATTAAACTTTAATGAATTAGTTGAAGATATACAAAATCATTTAATTATTGAAAAAAAAGAATGGATTCAACAGAATTTAATTAATCTTTATAAATTAAAATATAAATCATTCAGTTTACTTCAAAGTCATTACAATGAATTAATTGATAAAAAACCAGAATTATTTTTTAAATCAGACAATTTCAAAGATATTGAAAAACCAATCCTCATGTCTATATTAAAAAGAGATAGCTCAGGATTAGAGGAAATTGATATTTGGGGTTATGTCATTAAATGGGGAATAGGACAAGATGAAAAATTGAAAAAAGATATTTCAAAATGGAATGAAGAAGATTTTGATAAATTGAAAAATATACTAGATGATCTTATTCCATTAATAAGATTCACTCAAATCACTTCTACAAATTTTTATAAAAAAATCAAACCTTTCAAAGAGGCATTTAATCAAGATTTATATGAAGAAATTCTTGAATATTATCTTAATGTTGAATGGCAACCAAGATTGTTAGCTCAAAAAGGCCCTAGGATGGGAAGGAGAGAATTACTAAGTTTGGAAATAAAATCTTTGATTTCCAGTTGGATTAATGAAAAAAAAGGCTTTTATAATTCAAATGATTTACCATATAAATTTAATTTGATTTTCAGTGGGTTCCAAGATGGATTTTCAGGGTCAGTTTTTGTGAAGAAATGCCACAACATTGAACAAACAGTTGTCATCATGAAAATTAAAGAAACAGAAGAGTTAATTGGAGGGTATAATCCAGTCTGTTGGAATTTGGGGGAAAATTCCTCAAGTAGTTATATTAAAACAGACAAAAGTTTTATTTTCAAAATTGATCAAAATCAAATTAATAATTCATTATTAAGCAGAGTCAAAGAACCTGAATGTGCAATGTATTATAATTCAGGAATGATTGATACAACTACTGATGGTATAAAATTTCATGAAAGATTAATAGATTTTAATGATTTAGACATCCGCAACAGTATTAGTAATGGACCTTATTGTCATTATGAGCATAGCAATTATGAAAAGAATTTGAATCTTAAAAATAAAAATAAATTAGTACATTTGCTAAAAAACTATGAAGTATGTAGATTAGAATAAATGATATTTTATTTTAATTATTACAACTTCACATGTGATTTTATAATATAATGTTATGAAATAAAGCTTAATTTTCAGAAAATATCAACAATAATATTCTGCCATTAAAATATATTAATATGCTACTTGTAAATGACTCAATAGAATTGTTGGGTGAATCAGATTTTTTACAAAGTTAGATAAGATCATTAAAATTTTTAAAGTCATTCTTTGTATCTTTACCAAATAATTAGGTACTGTATAGTCTCGTAAGGTAGCACTCCCTACTAAAAATGGTTGATGAAATTATACATGACATGATGAAATTCAATATTTATCATATTTATCATTATTGCCAAGGATCTTTTGATGAAATCAATTTAGCCAATCAAATCAGATACTTTGATACTTGCTGATCACCAAATAATAAATTTTAGTGACGTGACAGACAATTGATTTCTATATATAGTGTAAACATTTCAGCCAATATATTAACAACACAACATGCATTAACAAAGGATAAGGAGCTTACATGTATATCTTATTGTGTGTGTAACTGGCCAGTAGAGTGATAGTTGACCTCAAAAAAATTTGTTTTCTCTGCCAAAAAAAACTATTTTACTATTCAATAGTTTGTCAAACCAACGCCACTACTCAATACCAATGGATTATTTCTAGCATAAGGTATTCATAATGTTATGATCATGCCATACTATATATATATTGATTTGTTTATCTTGAACCTATTATTTAACTATTACCATCTTTAATTATTTTTCAGTATTCTATACCTACAAGAGATGAAGTCAATTTTTTTAGCCAATAAAACCAAAAGAAAAGCTACTATCAATTCTACTATTAATTGGATAAATCAGTTTGAAAAATTTAGATCAGACTGTGGTTATATAGGAAAAATTGATGATATAACTGATTTCAAGGATTTTGAAGAACAATTGATAAATTATGTTACTAAAATGAAAAAAAATGATGGAACTGATTATACTTCTACTTCAGTTAATGCTTGTTTGACAGCTATCAATCGGCACATTGTTGAGAAAAGTTTATTCAATAATCTTGATCTTTATCATAACATATAAAAGATTATGGCAAATTGTTGATGGCAAACTTCAATCCCTTGATGAACTTGAACTTGGTGAAAAAAAAAGGTGCTGATTCATTAACTGACAAAGAGATTAATGTAATATTGTCACATTCATGTACATCACCACCAAATGGATATGGCTTAATCAACAGAGTTTTTTTTCGAAACTGCATTTTACTAGGTTTAAGAATAAGTGAACATTATAATTACAAAGAAATCACTTCAAAAAAAGATTTGATGGAGGTTATGAATTTTACATTTATAAATCAAAAACAAACCAATGAGGATTAGCTGGTGGAGCTGCTGAACAATTGATAACTCCATATGTAGAAGAAATTATTAGAGATTATGAATTATACTTACAAAAAATTCCATTAAATGCTGAAACAGCTTTTTATCTACATCCATTGAAGTTTGGGACTGTATAAATAGTTGGTACCAACCAAATCATATTGGACAAACTAAATTGAAGAATTGGCTTCATGAGATAACAATTGAAACAGGTATTGATCTTACAAAACATAAGATTACTACCCATACAGAGTGTAAACACTAGTAAGAAATTTAAAAATATCAGGTGCAACAGATATTGAAACAATGTCAATATCAATACACAGATCCATCAAAGGACTTGCCGGTTATGAGCGACCTAAAGATGATTTGCAACTACTAGGAATGACCGATTTAATCAACTACAATAAAAGTAACTTTTAATTTAATTATAGTTTAAAAGATTATAACAATAAAAATATTAAGCATTTAATTTCTTGTTACTTACAAGTTACAAATAATAATGGAAATACAGAATATCTTGATCATGGTAGTCAAGAGAGGTAAATTTTGTTACCACAGTATTTATAATAGAGATGACATATATCTTTAATTACTAACCAGCTAATTCAATTTTTTAGAATTTATTAAACATGACCAACAAATAAATATTAAACCTGCCAAAATTAATTGCAACACTTCAGCAGAAATAAATGGTATTA